AGGAAGAGTTTAGGTGAAAAAGGAACTAAATGTATATTCCTTGGCTATGCTATGCATAGTAAGGCCTATAGGTTTTTGGTAATAGAGCCCAATGGTTCATCATTGAATCACGTGATGCAATATTTACTAATACTGGTTCCTGACTATTTCAAGATTAGATTCTAGTGAAGGAAATAAGTCGAATGTTTGCCAATGTAGTTGGTTGTTGCTAGTGAAGTAGGACCAAATGTAGACAAACATTTAAAGAAATGGATTGAATTCCGCAAGCATCTTTGGGAGGAGAGAGTTGTGACTATAATGTGTGATGGATGGACAAGGCCTACTTGTTAATTTAATGATTTAATGGAGCGATTTATCAATGGTAGAGAATTATTACAGCCAACCATCACACATTTTGCCACAAATTTTATTACTTTGGAGAGTATTGTGAGGCATACGATTGCCTTGGAAGATATATTCAATCCTACTGACTGGAGAAACTATGAATGGGGAAAGAAAAAAAGGTAAAGGGTTATGATGTTAGAAAGATCATACTTGAGAGGGAATTTTGGAGTAAAGTAAGGGAAATTATGAAAGTGCAAGAACCCCCTTGTTCAGGATACTTTGACTATTGGATGGGGATAAGAAGACATTGGGCTTTCTGTATGAAGCTGTCGATAGGGCAAAACTAACCATTCAAAGAGATTGTTGGTATTTCAAAGATTATTGGAAGATCATTAACAAAAGCGGAGTTTTCAACTGCATTTAATTTACATGCAGTTCATAAGTTAATTAAATTTTCACATTTAATATTTATTTACTCTTATGAATTTTGTCAATATGTTACTTACTTTGCTGCTTGGTGGGTTATTTTCTCAATCCCCAATCTCAATATAGTGAAACCCTATCCAACCATAGGGAAATCATGGATGGTGTTAAGAAAGTGATACAAAGATTGGATTTAATGATCAAATTAAAGCCATAATCAGGTAAGTTGATAATATTATTATGTATTGAAATTTTCAATAATATTGTTTAGTAAAAATGTTGGCAATATTAATTAAATTTACAGATTTTACTGTCTTGAGATAAGCAAGATTCATTTGGTACTGTAATAGCTCAAAGAGTGGTGCAACATACAATGGTAGTAGTTGGATATTGCTCAAATTTATTTAATCTTTCAAGTTTCATATTACTTGTTGAAGTTTTTAATTAGTGTTTTTCCCACAAAATGTATTTGAATGGTGGGTCCATCATTGCACATCTGCTCCTGAACTTCAAAGAATTGCAATTGAAGTGTTGAGCCAAACTAGAGCAACCTCCAATTGTGAGCAAAATTGGAGCACCTTTAGTCTCATACATACAAAGATAAGTAATTGGCTTAAATACAAAAAAATTAAACAAACTTATCAATATCTATTACAATATATGTTGAAGATATAAGCGCAGCCTATTTTAGTTTACATTCATTACAAAGTAAACCAAGCCTAACCGGTCACAACATGTTCTTTGTTGATATTTATTGAGGAGTTTGATTTGCAAGAGTTCGGGTGAAAAACGAAGGACAGAATACAAAGATTGAGGCCACACCTAGAAAGCAAAAAATCATCATTAATGAAGCTTTCGATGGTGATGATGTCCTGAGTCCGCTTAATAGTAGTCACACATAGATACCAATTCACCCTCTAATGAAGGCAATGTCAGTGATGGGCAATATGAAGTTGTAGTGTCTGGACATGGTGTTGAGCAAACTAGAGCAACCTCCAATTGTGAGCAAAATTGGACCACCTTTAGTCTCATAGATACAAAGACAAGGAATCTGCTTAAATACAAAAAATTAAACAAACTTATCTTTGTCTATTACAATATATGCTGAAGATTTGGCATGCCACAAGGAAAAACCAAAGGGACACAAGCTCATTTGAAAAATTAAACAAACTTATCTAGTCTTGCAAGAGGATTCGACGGTGAAGGTGTTTTGAGTGCTTAATAGTAGCCACATTGATACCAATTCACCCTCTGATGAAGTTGTAGTGTCTGGACATGGTGTTGACAGAAGCGGTACAAACTTTCATGGGGAATCTAAGATGCATTACTTTTGTGATAATGAAGTTGGACAATAATTAGAGAAAGTTCCACGAGGCTCATAACCCACTAATGTAGCTGACATGAGAAGATGCAGTCATTGCTCATTGGATGGTAGCTATAACAATCATCTTGTCATGCATCATTTTGGAGAACTTGTACCTGGTGAACCTAATTGGTGACTTGACATTACCCATCTACCATGTATCCTCAACCTCATGTGCTTCTACCTCTGTAATAGCCTCTACCACCATACCACTACTACCAACCAACTCATGTAGCTTGTCCTTCACCTCGTATAGCTTATCCTTCACCTCAAAGCATGGCTATAGTATATTTGGGCCACCCATTCCTTGTGGTTATGTTTATCAACATCTTGAAAATTCCAGTGATAGTTGTGGTGGCAATAGTGTTGGACAATTTGATATACATTGTTGGACTCATTTTCTAATTGCTTAAGCTTTTTGGAAAACTGGTGACTTAACATCGTTTCAGAGCTCAGGTTAAGAGAGGTCTCAGGTTCAAGTCTCTCCATTGGCACTTGGTATTTTGTCCCCGTTTTGTTTCTTCTTCTTTGTTTAATTGTTTGCTTCTCCTGCTATTTAGTTCTCTATTTGCCGCTCTATGTACAAGACAGGGTTGCACGTGTGAGGGAAGGTGTTGGGAAAACTAGTGACTTACCAATAGTACAAGATATTGGAATGGGAACCCATCACTAGTACAAGATATTGGAATGGGAACCCCAACTATTTCTACAAACACCAACCACATCAGCATGCTTGTGATGATGATGATAACATAAGTGGGAATCACCAGTATCATCCATGCCATTTTTTTGGATCTGACCTGTGAACATCAAAGAAGTGTTATCAAATATGTTAGTTGTTAGTTATTAGTTAGTTATTTAGTACTATATTAGAGCATGGAGCATGAATATTATCATTGTTATAACTATTGTTGTAACTTGTATCAGTATCATTGTACTACCAACATATATTGTTTTCTTTATTGTTATGAGTTACCTATTTTAGTAGCATCTATAATTATCCTAGATAGTAAAATTCCTTGTTACATGAAATTCTCCTTTCTTTGGCCTTCAAAACAACATAAAATTCAATATTTTTTACGAAAACATGTATTAGGTCCTACAATGGTTGATTAAAAGCATTACAAACATTCAAATTTTGATGATTAAGGTTAAAACATACTTAGCAATGAGTTTTCTTAACTTTTGCTAGTGCTTAAAAATAATTTATGAGTTTGGTTTCCGATTCTTGTTACACAGTGGCTAATGCCATGGTATTCGTTACACGCGACCACGACTATTACACCGACTAATACCATTATTGATACCGTCTTTGAAACCATGGCAAGGCAGTGATTGATTAAATGCACTAAGTATTGAGTGTGCGTTCCCACTAAGTATTGAGCCCATTTTCTAATAGTTTAGGCTTTTGGAAAAATTAGTTAACTTAACATGGTATCAGAGCTCAAGTTGAGAGAGGTCTTGGGTTCAAATCTCTCAATTAGCATGTCGTGTTCTTTCCCCGTTTGGCTGTTTGCTTCTCTTTCTGTTTAGTTTGTTTAGTTTTTTGTTTGTCTCTCCACCTGCAAGACGGGATTGCATGAGAGACAGAGTGTTAGATAGCTTGATATTTATTGTTGGGCCTATTTTCTAATAGCTTAGGCTTTTGGGAAAAAATGGTAACTTAACACTTTATTTTGTATTCTAGCAATATTGGCTTGAACAGGACCAATCTGCATTTATTAATGGAAAATGTTACATATAATCTTATTTCTTATCTTCTTTTCTCACTCAAAGACACAAGTCAATGGATCCCATTTGCATTTATGAATGTGGGTCCCATTGTTGTGTCTAAGAGTGAGAAAAGAATGTAAGAAATATGATGGATTAAAAGTAGCTGTATTAGATGGATTCATATCTAAGTTGAGTAATGCCATACACTGATGTCATATAATAAATGCACCAGAAAATATTCTTGTATTTTACCCAATTGAATTTTTATCTTCTCTTTGGCTTTTTTTGTTCTTTGAAAAAAAAAAAAAAAAATTTGACCTCTGTAACAAATCAAACCCTAACTTTTTAGTTGTTTCAATTTAGACCCTCAACTTTTAAAATTGTACCAATGCTAACCATATGTTTGTATCCATTAGTTATAACTAATGGATATTGGGCAATTTAGAGAAGTTAAGTCACTTTTTCTCCTTCATTACTGTTTATAGCCATTACCAACCCTTCTCACCATAACTGTCGGCTATTGCCAATCCTTTTCTCTTCCCCAATCTACTAACACTGCCCCATCTTTTTTCCCCATCAACTACTACTATTCCCATTCCTCAGCTCACTGCCACCACTCTAATTCGTTCCGCAGTCCACAGCCACTACTGCTGTCCAACCACTGACAAAAAGTGGTTAAATTGTCTTTATTGCCCATGTTTCGTTAGTTATAACTGATGGATGGTTAGGATTGATACCATTTGAAAATTTGAGGGTTTAAATTGAAATAATTAAAGTTTGGATTTGATTTGTGACTGGGGTCAAACCTTAGCCTTTTTTTTTTAATTTCTCCTTTGTTCTTTTTTGTTTGCTTGGGGTAAAACTAATCTTATCAGTGTTCTAATGAGACGTGTAAATTTTGAAGCAACTTATTGATATCCTAACTTCTTCTTCTCTTTTTTTCTTTTTTTCTTTTTCTTTTTTTATTATTATTTTTTAAGTAATAAAATTTCAATTCATTGTGCATGACTATAGGCTATGGCTTATTGTTACTTGTTCAAATGGTACCCCCCCTGCCCCAAAGAAAGAGAGTGGGGGGTGTTTAATGTTAAAATTTTCTTCAATGCGCTACATTATGTTAAATTGTTTCACAAAGAGATTTGATTTTCTGTTTGGGGACTTTGGATTGTATGTGAAGGAAAAGGAAGATAAGCACTCAACACTCAGTGAAATATGGGACTGGCAAATACAAAGCAAGATATGGGAAGTACAGGAGGACATGGGAAGATGGGCAGTAAGAATCCAGGAAAAAAACAAAAAAGAAGAACAATTTGGCAGTTAATGTCTGGTTTAAACTGTGAAGGTGAATATCTATCTATATTCGTTTATCTATTTAATATCTTCTCATTTGCCTTGTTGATTTGGCAGTTGGTATACCATACCTAATGTTCATCAATAGGTAAGTTATGTTCCCACACTTGCTGTTGTGATATATCCATAAGTTCCTTCTTGTTAGCTTAGGATTTTATTTTGGTTAAGTTACACTTTCACCTCCTGAAGAGGGCCATTTTTCATTTTGGTAGAAAAAAATTCTCACTTTTGTCTCTAAACTAACAGTTATTCCCCACTTTGATCCAATTAGCAACTCACGTCACGATTAAGGGACAGATTTTGGAATTTAAAAGGTTAACACTTTGGTCCCTAAATCCAAACCCAAACCCAACCCAACCCAATCTCAAAACCATCCACACTCTAAAACTTATCCCCAAGCAAGGCCCAAACCGGAGAAGCTGTCGCTTTGGCCCTGAAAAATTGACTAAAAAAAATGCCCCAAATTTTTGTTAATTATTATATTAGCCAATAAAAAGAAAAATCCCACTGAAATTTAAAGGGTCTCAATAAAATTCAATTATGATTTAAAACTAATAAATGGTTGATGTGATAAATTATTTAAAGGGAGTTTTTTTGATAAATCCATTTTCTAAGAGCTTTATTCCATCCAACTCATATTTTTTTTGACTATTCCATTAGATCCTATTTGAGATAAGAAGACCAAAATACCTTTTTCATCTACTTATGTTCCATTTAGCTTCTTGGGTTAAAACACTTCTAAATTGGACTTATCAATAAAAATCCCCATAAAAACTAATAAATAAATTTTTTTTTTTTTTTAAATCAGAATAAACCAAATAACTTATTGATGTGGTGAATTGTTTGAAATTATTGAATGGTTATTTTCCAAATGTATAGATTTTATATAGAATATGATTTATTATACTACTTGCAGTTACTCTTTTTAAATTAAAGTTGAATAAATCTTACCTTTACTCAACTATGTCAAATGAAAAATTAAATGGATTAGTAATTTTATCCATCGAATTTGATATAACTTATAAGTTGGTTTATGCAAACTAGATTAATAATTTTACAGTTAAAAATGCCAGAAGAGTTATATTTAAGTGATTTTTATTACAGTTTATTTACTTTTTATTTAATATTCCAGTTTAGATTATTTTGGTCATTTTTCTTATTGTAAACTTTAATGTATATTTAAGTAAATTTTAATAGACATATATACTAGAAGTAACCTTATTATGAGTACTGTCAAATACCCAAAAAAAAATTAGACACAATTTTTATTTTTTCAAATATGTATGAAAGGTCCCATGTTGACAGTTCGCTTTGACCCTTGAAAAAGTTAGAGTCAGCTCTGTCACCATGCCTACCCCATCTCAAAATCTAATTTCAAATCGGCCAAAAATGAAGAATTTCAATGGATGTGTCATTGGTAGAAGTAGAGGGGTTGTCAATCATAGTCTAGGTGTTGTCAATCATAGTCTAAGGGTTGGTGGGGGAATCAAGTGGTGAGTTTAAACACCATTGGTAGAAGGAATGGGGAAAAAAATGAAGGGAGAGGAGAAAGAGGGTGGGGTCATAAATAATGAAGGTAGTGGTAGTGTATGGTGGTGGAGAGAGGAGAATTAGTGGTTGAGTTGTGAGAGGTGGCCGGTGGCATGTGACGTCCCAAATTTCTCTAGGACATTGTAAGAGCTGTTTTTGGGGAGCAGTCATTTGGTCGCTTAAGCGAAAATTTGTAGCTTCCAGTATCTCGCAGGTTTGCAGGCGAGACCACTTGAGCGAAAGAATGGTCGCTTGAGCGTAAAATGTGAGTTTCCAGTGTTTTCACTGTAGTTGTGCAAAACTTCTAGGACCTTGCGTTTACCGCTCGAGCGGTGGAAAGTTTGCTCGAACGGTTCCTTTGTATTTTGGCACTTCGCTTGAGCGATGGAAAGTTTGCCCAAGCTGTCTAGTCGGGACATCATTGTTGTATTACGATCGAAACACTTTTCTATTTCATTTCTCTCACACTCCTCTCCCTAACAACCCTCTTTCCAAAACCTAGATTTCATCTAGTAAGAGCAAGAATTGATCATTGGGTTTTTACTAAAGTTGTTACCCATGCCAAGAGCTACATTTTGAACCGAATAGATCGTGGTATTTCGGAAGCTCATCGAGTGTACCTTCATCTCTCGCCATACAACCTTGAGGTAGGAATACCTTTACCCTTGTATATTTATATTTTGGTCTAAATAGGTGCGGATCTTAAGATGTATGGAGCTATTGAGATGAATGATGTATATATATATATATGGGCCTTGTGTGATACAGTGTTTGTGTGAAGTTAATGATGAATTGTGGAATCAACTATAAAATAGTGAGTAAACATACTTGAATCAAGAAAATAAATATTTGAAATGAAAGGCCCCAAATTTTTATATGAACTCTAAGGGATTGTTCATAATTTTGATGTAATGGATAATGGATAAGTAAAATTGGAGAATCCATGTGATTGTTGGTGTTTTGCATAACATGTTAATGTTTTGAAATGTGTTTGAGGTACCCACTTGCCCAGTTCACATGAGAACGACAAATGTGGGGGTGTTGTGAGGTGTCCACTAGCCGGTTTGTGTGAGGACGACAAAACTGGAAAAGGTTTGAGACGTCCACAGGCCATCTGTGTGAGGATGGAAAAATGTGGAGGTTGGATGTTGAATTGTGTTGTGTAATAATTCTTAAATAAATATAGATTCTTGGGCATTAATACAGGTCATACATATTTAAATCAAATGTTTATATACTTTGTTAAAGTTATTCTCTACTAGGCAAATTGCTCATTCTTATTTACTAACCTTTCAGGAAATGAAGAGTCCCAAAACCATTAATGAAGAAGAAGAAGAAAACGACTACTCGTTTTTAAGATATAAACTTTTGTAAACTTGAAGTTGAGATGTGATTGGGAACTCCTTTTCTAAATTTTATTTTTTTAAAGTTTGTATTATTGTACTAAATGCTGCTACCTTATGCTCTTGCTACTCCCTACTCCCTCCTCTGGCACCTTGACTTCTTTGACTAGGCTATAAAGACAAAGGGGAGTCAAAAAGGTAAAAGAACTCCCTCTCGGACGTATGCCCTTTAGTCATTCATTGGAGCAGAACCAGTTAACCAAAGTCACGATCAGAATAATAACGGTAGTTCGCTGGGTAACTCCCAGAGGTGCTGGTTCAAATCTAGTTCGTGACATGGTCTATCAAACTCTCTTATCTATAAGAAAATTTGATAGGAGAAAGACTCTGCTTGCTTCCCCAGTTCACTACCACCCCTCAAGCCAATCACAGCTTTTCTTTTCCCTGGCTGGGGACATTCCACCATGGAGGTTTTCCCCCCTTTCTCTCTATAGTGCCTCTGTGCTTGACTTCTCTCCCCATCACCTGAGCCTCTGGGTACTCTTGGCTATGATGTCGCATAGAATCTTGTTGAAGGCCTTGGCTAGGCCATTAGACTGTGGGTTCCAGGAAGTGGAGTACTCCCACTTGATCTTAAACTTCTAGACAAGTCTGTAGATGCTCTGGTTCCTGAAGTTTGGTCCATTATCCGACTTAATCCTCGCCGGGATTCCGAACTGGTGTATGATATTGTTACAGAAGAATTGAGCAGTGGTTTCTCCCGTGACTTCTTGCAAAGGGATCGCCTCCGCCCACTTGGAGAAGTAGTTAGTGGCAGCCAAGATGTATTGATAGTCGTTGGCTGTTGTTTCAAATGGTCCGACGATGTCTATACCCCATTCTGCGAGCGGAATGTCACAATATAAATGTTTTGTAATCTTCTCTAGCTCACTGAACCGAGATATGTCTTTTGTAATTTTGTAAACAAAATCTGCAGTTCAATAAGAAAGATGAACATTTTGTATGGAATGGTGTTATGGGTTAGGTGGAGATTGTTCTTTTAATTGTTTAATGGGAATTATATGTGTAGGGTGTTACAGACATCATTTAGGTTTAAGCCACTAGTAGTATAAGATCAAGGATGAACTACTCATACTACATTACCAAATTGAACTTTTATAGGAAAAGACGTCTCTGGATGTAATTTAAACCTTAAATCATTCGATATTCAATAGAACACCACAAAATAAATTCAAAGTTCATAATGATCCGATTACAACACTTAATTGTACTCGATTTAAGAAAAGAAGTTGAAAATTAGGGAAAAAGACTAGCAGGGACTTGGATGACTCTAAGTTAACCTTGGTTCATTAGTCTGGTTGTCATAGGATGCCATGAGTTGCGAGGACCAATAGAAACAATCTACCCAATACTATCTGCCCCAATAAAACACAAGCACTCATAGATACAAGCAATACGATTATAACAAATGAGAAGGAACAAGAGTAATATAACGATAAGCATAATAACGGGAAGGACAAATTACACTAGTAGTCCCTATATTTTGCTGCTTGTGTCATTTTAGTTCTTACAATTTCAATTGACTCAATTTTGACTCTTAATTTTAAATTTGGCTTCAATTTGGTCCAATTAATAATTTCGATGGAGTTTTTGAAAGAAAATTTTCATTAAATTAGTTAAGGTTAAGTCACTAAATTGATCAAATCTACAATTTTACTTCTAAAAATATGACATATGTCACTTATGTGCGCATTTGCCATAAAAAATACTAATAATTGGAAGCAATTGGACCAATTTAAGACAATCCAAAGCTCAGGGTCAAAATTGATCAAATTGAAATTGTAGGGACGAAAATGACACACAGGCCAAAGTATAGAGAGTAATAATGTAATTTTCCCTAACGATAAACAACGGAAACAACAATTAGTATGAAAGTAATTTATAAGTTCCAGTTTTTCTATTGTTCAGTTAACTAAGTTATTTATAGGCGATTTCTCATGGAATGTCGTTCTTACTCAACCACTAACACTAGCCTTAGGCTATTCAGACTCCCACATGGTACATTAAAACGTATAAGTAAACACTAGGAATGCCTATGCCTCAAATTATGTACTCAAGCTGTAACATCGTCGATCTACTGTTAGGGAACAACCTTTCAGAGATACTCTCTCTGTATGAGATCTTCATTGCCTCCCTTATGCCATAGCCGAATCCATTAAGGAGCCAAAATTAGGATTGAGTAAGGAATCCGCGAAATTCATAATCCGATCCAGTTCAGTCCCATCCGGTAAGTTTGGATTGATTTTTTGAATCCGTGATTTGGTTCCAGATTGAAAAATTAAAAATCTGTAATCCACGGATTGGTTCTAGATTGAACCCTATGGTTCCGAATTGGAACCGATCCGGACCGTATACAAATAGTCTATATTTTTATTATACACCCTATCGCATAGTATCTTCTCTTATTCCATATAAAACCTAAACCCAAACCTAAACCCGCATAATATCTTCTTTTATTACTTTTGTTTGTTAGTTTCTAGTTTTAATTTGTAATGGTCTAAATACTTATGGTTGAATCAGTTTTCTTATGGTTGTTTAAATTCTAGAACAATATGTCGCTATTATGGAAATGCATGTTTCTATTATGAAACTAATATAGTGTTATGTTTATATTTTTATAAAATTAAAGTGTTATATATATTTTTTATTATTTAATTATGTGAATCTGTGATCCTAAACCGATCTAATCCGTGTTTAAATGGATTGGTTCGGATTGGTTCCACGATTTAAACGGATTGACTTGGTTCCAATTTTTCAAGAACTGTAAATAATTGATTGGTTCTAGTTTTACCCCAATTCGATTTAATCCAGGCCATGTCCACCCCTAGGCAAAACTACCTCTCATGTTATGTTATGGTTCGAAAATCCTGTCATGTTATGGTTCGAAAATCCAGTTCGCACAATACTAGCACTAGGACGCATATTGAACATTCGGCAATACATGCCACTTTCATATCCTCATTACCACGTCTTGCACATATACCGTATCACCCGGTTCAACCCCGGTTAGATACACATTTATATGTTCACAAGATTTCAATGAAGGAAAATTTCCACAAGTAATGAAAAACCGATGCGAACAAATAACAAACAGACCAGCCACGCATGCATCGAGAATAATCACTTAAAGTATATTCTAAATTTATCTTAAAATCATAACACGTGAGTGCGGATAAGTGATTGTGAGGTACTTCAAAGCTTTCATTGTCACAAATTTACAAACAAAATTAAAAAAATAAAAATAAAAATAAAAATAAAAATAAAAATAAAGAAAATAACAACAATACAAAATTAAAAATTAAAAATTAAAAATTAAAAATTAAAAAAATAATGGTTTCAAACAAACAAAGTTTCTAACGAAGTTAACAAACATAAATGGGTGAATTACATTAACGATTCCTATAGTTTGAGACTTGTATCACTTTGGTTCTCAACTTTTCAATTGTGACATATTTTATCCTAAATTTTGAATTTTGTTCCAAATAAGGATAATTGAAGATACCATTACTTAATTTTAAGGGCAAAATCGTCAATTTGATAAAATATAAACTAATTTAATAAAAATAAATGTCAAAAAAATATTTTTGAATTTTTAAAAATTATTTCTACACACTAAAGATAAAATTATGTAAAATTGATAAATCTTTTAAACATTTATTTATTTGTTTATTTTACCAAATTAATTTTTATTATGTGTTTGGATGATGATCATGTAATGGATGGTGGTTTTTATTTTCATTAAATTATTTTCTATTTTTCTATAAGTCCAATATGGCGACAACTTTGATATCATTATTAAATCAATCCATTAAATCAAAAAATCTAAAACTAAAAATATTTCATATATTAAATATATTGATTACACATTAAAATTCTAACAATCGCCCATTACATAATCATCATCCAAACACATAATAAAAATTAATTTGGTAAAAATAAATAAATAAACAAATAAATATCTAAAAGATTTATCAATTTTACATAATTTTATCTTTTGTGGGTAAAAATAATTTTTAAAAATTTAAAAATATTTTTTTGACATTTATTTTTTTCAAGTTAATTTATAAGTAATAGTATTTTTAATTATTCTTATTTAAAACAAGATTCAAAATTCATGATCAAACGTGTCAGAATTAAAAAATTAAAAACTAAAATAATACGATTCCTACTGTTTGTGTAATTCGCCGACCATAAATATATGTCTATGTAAGAGTTGCTTCACTAATAGTCAAAAGGCATGTATTTGGGCGCAGCCTTTCCTGATTAGGGATTGTTCTTTGCCTCCTCCATTAGCTGCCTGAGCTCTCATTTTGGAATTTACTAGGGATTGTTTTGAGCTCTCATTTTGGAATTTACTAGGGATTGTTTGGAATGATTTAAATAAATATATTTTTTAATTTTTTATAAAAAAATATATAAAAAAATAAAAATAATAATATGATCCAAATAAATGTATTTATTTAGAGAATGCCAAATAAACTCTACAAGCGGCATAACTCTTACCACTTAGACAGAGACTTTTTGATTTATTTATATATTTTATTATTTTATATTAAGTTGTGAATATTATTTAAAATATCTTACCCACTAAAAGTAGAATTATTTTGATTACCGGTGTTTTTTTATTTATTTATATATTTTATTATTTTATATTAAGTTGTGAATATTATTTAAAATATCTTACCCACTAAAAGTAGAATTATTTTGATTACCGGTGTTTTTTTATTTATTTATATATTTTATTATTTTATATTAAGTTGTGAATATTATTTAAAGATTAATGTCCCATACCCCCTGTACTTCCCCACCCCCAATGACCCCTTAGCCCCACATGGGGGTGGGTGATTGGAAGAAAAGAAAAGAAAAAAAAAAAAAAAAAACTACTGGCCAATGAAATGCCAGTAGGGGTGCTGGGTCCCTAGCATAGTTGTTATTTAAAAGATCTTACCTATAAGTTGTCGAAGAGTTGTCAAAGAGTGAGATGTGAAGGGTTTGGCCTCGGAGTTGGGATTTGTTTTGGAAGTCTTGTGTGGGTTATAGGAACTTTGTTTGATATGCGTAGACATACGTAGGATATCTTACATATAAAATAAAAAAATAAATAAAATGAGAAGTGCAGAGTAGCATTTCTGAAATTCTTAGATAGTCTGGGGTGGTTACATTCTCATTTCATAAAAATATTTATTTTACTTTTGATTTACTAAAATAATGATAAAAAAAATACATTATAAATGTAATCATTGTTTACTATTGTACGAAATGATCATTCTATAAATAAAAAAATTAAAAAAAAAATACTGAAGAAATGACTATTATATTACATCTCATATCATTCCAATAAACCAAAGGAAGAGTAAAAATATTATGAGGTGCTCCTTATGTGGTGTTGGTGCTCATAGCAAAATATATACTGAATTTTTGTACTTGTTATGTATTTTTATGTATTTCACAAATTTTATATTTTTAAGTATGTCTAAATTAGATGTATTTAAAATAAAATAAAAACTAAATTATATTAAAAAGATTCACTACACACAAAAAAATACGAATTAAAAATTTAAAAATTATTTTTGAAAATTCAAAACCAAATAAAGTAATTTTTATTTCCATGAAATTTACTTTTAGTTTAGTAATACATGAACCAAGTTTTCTGATATAATATTAATAAGACCTATTAAAAAATTGGGAAATTATAAGTAAAAAAATAATAATTCAAGATTTGAGTCTTACAGTAAAATAAATTCTAAATTTTTAACTTTATCAATTTAAATTTTAATCTTTTGATTTGTTTACAATTTAAATTATTTGTCCATTTTTGTTATAAAATTGAATAAAAAAAATATTTTAATCGTTATATATAAGTGTACACAAATTGTCTAAAATATTCTTTCTATTGAATTTAATAACTTAAAATATTATTTTTTTCGTCAGTTTTACTTAACA